GGTAGAACTTTATGTGATATTTCATGATTTCTTAAATTGGAATTAATTTCAGTAATGTAAACGTTTTCTGCTGTAGAAATTCAGTACCTGAAAAAAAGATTACTTTGTTGTTTAAAAAATTGACTAAATAAAATGTAAAATTAAAAAATCAGTAAAAGTACAAGTTTTCACCAGTTTAAACATATGAATGTTAAACAAAAAGCAAGAGTACCATTTAAGTTTTCTGGGTTCATTACTAGAACAAAAGATAGGCTCTTGGATTCATTATTTCATTCCAGTACAAAATAGAATCTGTCTTGATGTGAGTTTACTCATAGTATGGACATGCCTTCCTGGAACATTTTGATTTACATTTCTTTTTACATGTGTAAGACAGGATATTGATCCTATTGCTCTGAGTCTTCAAGTAACTGACTTTTACAAGACAAAAGTTCCTTCTGTGACTTAGAAGCAGAGTTCCTGCTCTGACAAATTTTATACTATGGTGGGAGGAGGTAGATTAACAATAAAGAAAACTGCATCCAGTAACTGAATTAAAGAAATATTATTTTAGATGCTAAAATAATGCTAAGCATAACATATTTTATTGCTGCTGCAGAAGCTACAGGGGTTGGAAGAAGAGTGAGGAGCATTCTTGAAAGAGAAAAAAGCTGTTTAAAAGCATGACCAAGAAAGCCTTTACTGAGCCGTGAGTGAGGGTAGGCTGGAAGCACTTGTTGGAGGGGAGGAAGAAAAGGAGGCTGGAGAAACAGACCAGGGGCAGACGAGGAAGGACCTTGGAGTAACGATTTACAAAAAGTTAATTTTTTTCCATAGACAGCAAAATGCCACAGATGATGGATAGGGATTTTGCTGTAGGGGTGGATCTCTCTCTGTGTGTAGAGCTTTTCCTTCAAAGAACTTGAAATTTCAGATTTACTTTCAAAGTATATTGAAACAAGAAACGACTAATTTGTACCAATGAAACCGAAGAGGTGGTGAGTGTTGGAGAGGTGGAGGAGGCACATAGTTGTGGTTTTTCCCGCTGAGAGGAGACCAAGTTTGCATTTTAGGAAGAGGAAGAGGTGATGGGGATGGAGGGGAAGGGCCTTCTTCCAGGGAGAGTTTCGGGAGGGGTGAAGTGCACAGAAAGTTGGTAAGTAATTGGAAGGCCGTGGGGTGGAGAGAAATTTAAAGATTCTGGGGTGGGACAGCATGACTGGTGACACCATTTTCTGAGATAAAGAATGAGAGCAAATAGGTTTGCATGTGTGTTTTTTGGAAGAAGACAACTATGAATTCAGCTTAGTTATGTAGTTTAAGGTGTACAAAAGACATCCAGAGGGGGCTAAATGAAGTCTTTTGAAAATCATTGACCCATAGATGATGCCAAGTCATGTGCCAGACAACTCTCAGCAAATGGGACTCGGTTTCTGAGAAGATCAAGAACTCTGGCAGTCCTTCCTTATCTATAGTTTTGCTTTCTGAGGTTTCAGGTACTGATGACAGACTTCTGTTTGAAAATACTGTATAGAAAATTCTGGAAATAATTTAAAAGTTTTGAAAAGCATGTCATTTTGGGTAGCACGATCACACAGTCCCATTTTATCCTGCCCGGGACATAAATCATCTATTTTTCATGTTGTATATGCTCCCTGCCTATTAGTCACTCAGTACTTTTCCTGAATTCCCACAGTTTTTTATAAATGTCCATTGGAATTGTTAGCATAAACGTTCTGTAACTACTTATGTAACTATCTCCCTTATCAGGCTGTGAATACTTCAGAATAGGATTTGTTTTTTGATATCTGGTTTTATAAATTCCTAACATTTAGTTAAGTTCTTGTATATAGCATGTGTTAGAAAATATTTGATGTTTGAATGCATTTTGCCACCTGGTAACATTTCCTAAGGCTCTGGTTTGGCCAGAAAAGAAACCTGAAACATGGAGTCCATTTCAGCATTGGCTTTAGACTGTACTTTTGACTTAATGAAGATATATTTCTAAATAATTATGAACATTGAATCTAGATCTTGATAGGTTTTGGGACTTTTAACTGTATGCACTCCAGCTTTGTGTTACAAATCCCAAAGATTTCTCACTACTTCTGGAGACAACTGATGACCTAGAGTTGGCCTCTTAGTATGTTACCCAGAAACTCTGTATGGTTAAGAAAGCATGTTGGAGAACGTTGAGACATTTGTTTTGACTCATTTGTCTCTTGCCCCATGGGCTTGACTTTCCAAAGGTCTTTCTGGCAACAAATACATCAGTGCAGAAAGCATTCTTGAAAGGATTATGGGAAGTAATGAGTCCCACATAAAGAGAAAGATGGTCCAGTCTTGCAAAATACAGTTCATAGACCTCTTTCACTTAGAAGAGCTGGTATGCAAAATCTTGGATCTGGGGTGCTCTCTTCTCCAAGGAAAAGGCAAAATGGGAACTCTGGAAGATGAAGCATTTGGTCATTGTCTTGGTTAGGCTCTTTTGGTTTAGAACTCAGCTAAGTAGCCACAGCAAGGAGGGGTAAGCAGGGGGAGGGGTGGGACAGAACAGATAATTCTAAAGATACATATGGGGGCAAAAAAATGCAATCTCAAAACTCACAAAAGCTGGAGCTGTTAAGCCATCAGGGACCACTGGGGCAGCTCTGGGGAAGGCAGTATCTCTCTTTGAGAATGTTTTAGCATCTTAACTTCTCTCACAGCCTCACTGCTGATTCATAACTCCTTTTCCATTGCGTCTACTGCTCTATTTTTGCATAAAATTGACTCCCAGGTTCTCAGTATTTCCTGACTCACAAATGTCTTGAGCTAGATGTTTGCCTCAGTTCTCTATTTTAATACCAATGTCTAGGGTCAGTAGGAAGCCTACCAATGGGATACACTGAATCAAATGCCCGCAGTGATTCCCCAAAGTGAGGGACAGAAGCAGAAGTCACATGATCTAACATGGCTACCATTGGTGACTTTAGCAGGGGATTAAGTGGGCATTTTCCCTTAGAGTTACATAGGCTTGTGATTCAGGGTTACATAGGCACCCTGATTCTCCACCACAGCTGCCAGTCCTTTATATCTAGGTGGCCAGAACCTGTCTGATGATGTTGTTACATTGTGGGAGCTTCAGGTCTAAGAAAGTGTGGGGCGATTTCCACTTGCTGAGTATCCATGGCATTCATATAATGAATGAGGAGACAAAAGGCTTCCTGAAGGGCACAATGGTGTTAAATCTGCCAATGTCATAGGAGTGAAGCCCTAGGATAGGCTTAATTGAGGAGTCCTCAGTTAATTGAGGAGTCCTGAGATAATAAGGAGTCAGGCAAGACGGCTGATTGAGCCCAAGGACCTGAAAATTAAAATTCTGGGTTTAATCAAAGTCACATCTCTCCCAGGAATCGGGCAGGCTTTGCTTGAAGCCCTCTCATTTTGATGTCAGGAGGAAGAGATAAGGCTGGGAGGAAGGGAGACAGGCTCCTAGGTAACTTCCTGGCAGGAGAGCACAAACAGCACCTGCATATATTTGCTAAAAAACTTACAAAAAGGCTATTTTAAAATCAGGACCTACATGACTGGGGTCCATGACACTCCAAAGAAAGAAACATTCTTGACTGATATTTTGATTGGACTATAGGCTTCATAAATACCTCGTGGACACCAACTGCCTTACCCAAGATTGGGCAGAGGGATGACTTCCTTAAACCATAGATCTATATAAACACCTAGACAATAGCACTCTTGGGTATCCCTCTCTTGGGACCAATCCCTTCTTGGAAGCTCTGCATTCTTTTATTACCCTAATAAATCCTGTTACTTTGCTCTCATCCTTGTGTCCATGGATTTTATTCTTCAAATTCATGGGACAAGAATCCGACCTCATGCTTCGTGCTACAATTTGAGTTGGCTAAAAAGTCTTATTCTATACTTCCATGACCATTACTACTGAGTTTAGGCACTAATTGGGTTCCAGCTGCTCCAGTTCATCGTTTTATATGAATCTTGACTAAAGTCTGCATCCAGGCAACTGTCTTAACCAGATGTAAAATAGTCCTGGGTAACTGAAAAGTCTTAACTCTGAAAGATTTGTCCACATACATTCCTAGCATGGCATTCGATTGTTCCCAGGTTATGTACATAAGCATGTGTTAATTAGCCAAAGTTATTGCCAATTAGTTAGAAAAGAAAAACATATTACTCTAAATAGTATGTATATTAGATAACTTACATATTTCACATGTACAATGGAACCTGTGAGATGCTCTTTTCACCATTTCACACTGAAAGCCACCATGACTCAGAATGAAGAGGGCACTTCAGATTCAAAGTCATATATGTAAGTCAGGATGATTGCTGGGCACTTCAGGTTCAAAGTCATATATGTGAGTCAGGATATGTTCAGTTGTAGCTTATCAGTTCCCAGGTGGAAGGTGTAGAGGCAAGATCTTAATCCTGGTTTTGTCAGACTCCAAATTGCAGTCTTTTGACTATAAGAAAATGCTTCCTTAGAGTGTGGTTATTCTATTTTCTTGTCAAGTTTTTAAATCGACAGATAAAATTGTATGTACTTATCACTTAGGGTTTGAAGGAAATACATATTGTAGAGTGACTTTAGCTAACCAGCATAAGCACTACCCTCACAGTTACCACTTCTGTGGTGAACACTTAACAGCTACTCTCTTGGCATTTAAAACCTTTTGATATATTATTAACCATAGCCATCATGTTGTACACTAGTTTTTGAAATTATTCTATCTAGTTGAAATTTTATATCCTTTTACTACCATCTCCCCCAGTGACTGGTAACTACTATGAGAGATGCTGAAATACTCAATTGTAGAAATGAATCTTAGTAACTTCACTTTCATTTATAGCTTGTACACAGGAGTGGCCCAATAAGTGGTGTACTTGGTCAGTGTAAATACAGTGTAAATCTAGAATTTATGACAACATTTAAAGAACATTTATCAATATGTACCCATACTCAATAATGGAAATGATTTAAAAAATCATGTCTTAGTTCAAAAGATAATTAATAATTAATGTTTATTATTCATTAAAAATGAATTTTCTAAAACATCAGTAAATTTCATTTTTAGCTCTGTTTTGAAGTGTTGATACCACTGAAGTAATTCTTTTCTTCTCTGAATCTTTTCTTGTAAAACTATAGTTTTCTCTTTTTCTAAAATGGCAGGAAGTTCCTTCCAGTTTTTAATAAAGATGAAGGGAGCACCCCTGGACTTGAGTAACTGCAGAGGGGCATTGTGGTGGACAGACGAATTTCCACAGTTGCCCCCTGTCATCACGTCTTCCACCACAGGGATGGAGCCATAGGAGCAGGCCTCATATATTCTATAACACTCTGTGTTGACTCCTACTGGGCACAAAGTGAGGTCACTGTGAAGCAAAGCATCTTGGTAATTCTTAAGACTTACATTTGTTTCTTGAGGCTGCCACCTGGAAAACCAGAAAAGTAACTGTAGGTTTCATTTTACTAAGCAAATCTTTTATGAAAGAAAATACTTTGTCTTTTTTAATGTCAGTTATCAGAAATGGTGAACACATTATAAGGACAGACAAAAGATATCTAAAATCTTGGCCCAAATAGATTTCTTAAAAATGTGGACATTTTATTTAATTTTTAAATTTTTAGTTGTAGATGAACACAATACCCTTATTTATTTTTATGAAGGATAAACAGGGTAGTAGGAACAAAGGACTGTCAATTCTAGCTGAATTATTGGAGTCAGACTATTACAGGGAATGAGGTAAAAATGGTAGAATATGGTACAGAGATGTTAGAATTTGAGGTCACCTTGAGGGAATGTGATATGTGTAAGACAATGTCTAAAAAATGAGCATGAAAAGAAATGGTTAAGGTAATCTGGGGGCCCAGAGCAAGGAGGAAAAGGTGTAAAGGAACTGCAAGATGGAGGTGATGGAAGAACCATCTAGCTAGATTTGGAAATCACCACACTAGTGTCAGACAAGGTCTAAGAATGTGCTAGAAGCAAAACTTTTCAAGGGATTAGAGGGATGAACCCAAGGGCCAGTATATGATTTCAGAGAGTAAAGTAATTGCAATTTTGTCTGTGGGCATGAAATTTAAAGTTGGGCGTATTATGGAGGGAAAGAAGAGAATGGTCTGGAAGTAGCAATGATAAGCAAAGATACCTACTCAACCTTGGGCTCAATGGATTGAGAGGAATTATAAGAATAATTCTCTTTCTCCTGAAAGCCTTTGTTATTTTACACTGTTCTCATCCACTCCTCTGCAGACACATTGGCCCTTGTGAAAAGTGCATTCCTGCCTTCTGATCTTTGCATTTGCTCTTTTTTTTCTGCCTGAATACTCTTCTCTCAAATATACACAGGCTCGCTCACCTCCCTTCACCTTCTGCAGGTCTGTGCTTAATGCCTACCTTGCTTGTGTGAAAATACCAAGTGATCCAGAACCCCTAGTCCTCTCTATGCCCCTCTTCTGCCTAATTACTTTTCATGATATTTCTCATTTTCTGTTCTTGTCTCTTCCAAAAATCACATAAGTGCCAGGAAAGCATGGACTTGGATTGTTTTTGTTCACTATTATATTTATCACAAAACAGTTCCTGGAATACAGCAGTTACCTTCACAGTAGATTAGGAAGAATTCTAGAAGAGAGTATTTTCTATAATTAAAAAAATAAATTCCTAGATCTAGAAAAACATTTTTAAGGTACTAGTTCCCTAATGAATGTGCTTTATATTAAAAACTCCATTCGTTTATTTAAAAACAGCATAAATGATTCCAAAGTTACTTCCTTTACTCCACGAACACCTGTTTTCTATGTAAAAGATGGAAGAAAATTAACCTTAGTAGGTCTATTCACTCACTATTTATCCTAAGTCTACCTTGTTCAAGGCCCTATGTTAGAGTAGAGGATTCAAAGAAGAATATATAATCCCTGTCCTCGGGATGGTGTCAGGTTCTTGATTGTGTGAAAAATAAGGTAGGTAAGTCTTGGCAAACCAAATTGGTCTGTTGAATATCTCAGGGAGCTAAGACCTTACTGACATTTACAGTCTCTTGTGTGCCAAATTAGAATAACAAATATTATTGAGGAAACCCTAACGTGACATTTGCAAATGATAGATACAAGAGTTTTTCTTCAAGATGGACTACAGCTATAGGACAGTCACCCTATTTTTAATGTATACAACCTAATCTCTTCACAGTTTTAATTACCAATGTATCTTCTTGGGAAAGATTGGTATAAATGGAGATAATAATGCTTTAATGGAAACCTTCTGTGTTTGTACATAAAGTTACACTCAGACTGAAGAACAGAATGGATGAATCAAGTAAACAGAACTTACTGTTGTCTTGCTGAAATCCAACAAAGCTTATCATTTCCATCTTGTTTCAAAATGTTCATTAGTGCCTGTCTAGATGAATTTTCATAAACAGTTCCTAAGAAATTACATAAATATGGCCTCTCATCATGCAGCATTGACCAACTTGCTTCTACCACAGGAAAATTCCTGTATCTATAAAAATAAGTACAAATGAGTTAATTTATGACATATGATTGGCAATATCCCTACATTCCATCTTCTTAGGTAGGACTATACATAGAAAGAGACTTAAAATAAGATTTCTAAATCTACAGTTGTTAACTTTCTATACTTACTTCAGAAAAGTCTCTGAATCAAGTGACTTGAAAAAATTTAACATTGATATCTCTTAGAAAAATGTCATTGAGATATTGTGCCTAAAATTCTTTGTTTTTTATTTTTACTTCTATTATTCACTTATAGTTGTTAGGCTTATTGAATTCAAGAAATTCAAAGCATAATGACTCATCTACATTCATTATATTCATGATTTAATTAATGTTTTAGCCAGGTGATGGGAAGATCACAGAATACTCTTGGTAGCGAGAGAGTGATCAAAGGGTGTGAAGTTTCAGTTAGGAGGAATAAGGTTTAGTGGTGTATTGCACAGAATGGTGATTATAATAAATAATGCACTGTATATTTTAACATTGCTAAAATAATAGATTCTCAATGGTTCACCATAAAGATTATAAGTATGTGAGTTGATGGATTAGTTATTTAGCCTAATTTAATTGTTCCACCTTGTAAACACATATCCAGACATCACACTGTATTCCATACACACACACACACACACACACACACACAGAAAAAAGGAAATATTATAGAACATATGTTGCTATAGCAAAGAATTCTGAAAAATTAATTCCAATGGCTTTTCAAGTAGATTAAAACAAACAAAAAAATCTTTTATTCCACATAAGGAAGGCTTACTGCAAGTGAGTCATTCTTAGGGGCATTTGGGGATAACAAGGATCAAACTAGGCCTAAATATAACCTTCACATGAGAGCAAAGCTTTAATAATTTGTTACAGTTAGTCTATAATGAGGTTTCCCAACTTCAGCACTATGGATGTTTTTGGGTCAGGTAACTTTTGTTGTGGAAGCTGTCCTATACATTGTGGGATGTTTGGCAGTACCCCTGGGCTCTACCTGTTAGATGCCAGTTTTTGCAACCTCCACCCTCCAGTTGCAGCAACCAAAATATTTCCAGACCTTGCCAAATGTCTCCTGGGACAGGGTGGGGTGGGGTGGGGTGGGGAACTGTCCCCTGGTTAAGAATTACTGATCTGTAAGACATATGATTGTTGGCCTAGTCCAACAATACTAGCATTATCATAAGTATCCATCTTATACTATGTGAATAGGTTATGCAATGCTACTGTGAAAAAGTAAAAATTTTCAAAGCATTTTACGAATATGGGCTCTTCTCAAGGGATAGATTTTTTTTAGAGGCTCTTAAATCTGGCTATATTTAACAAAAACCTTTCTGACTAGCCCCACCCAAACCTACTGAGTCAGAATATTGTAAAAGTAGGCCTGGGAATATGTCTTGTCTAGCATGCTTTCCTGCTAACATTTTTGCAGCTAGCTAAACAATGGTCAAAGGCTACATCTGGCAACCAGTGACTGAATAATGAATATTTGATTAAAAAATCATATCAAATAATTTGTCCACTTAACTAATATTTATTGAATGCCTACCACATACAGGCACTATTTTAGGCTCTAATCTAAAATTAGAAGTGAACAAAAGAGATAACAATCCTTGTCCTCAGGTTTATGTACTAGTGGCAACTTACCATTTTTGGGTGTGTGTATAATACTGGGAACAGAACCCAGGGGAGATCTACCACTGAACTACATCCCCAGTCCTTTTAATTTTTTAAGTTGAAACTGGTTCTTGTTAATTTTCCCAGGCTGGCCTTGAACTTGTCTTGTGATCCTTCTTTCTCAGCCTCTTAAGTAGCTGGGATTACAGGTGTGCAGTATTGCACCAGAGTACAATTTACCTTAAAGCTACTGTAATCTTAATTAAAACCGTCTGTTAACAGAGAGATAAAAAAAAAAAAATGTTTTGTATTTTATAGCTGGAAAAAGATTATATATTAAGAACATTAGCCACATTTAATTAATCTTTCCTTTTATAGAAGGGATTTGTGCAAATTCAACCAGCCCCAAACCCAAGGGTATGGTGTGCTCTTAATATAATAATATTTAGCCTTAAAAGTAATTTTGTTTATTTTATCATTATTCATTTTTTGCTAAACATCTCTTTAGGGTACTCCTAATAAAGCTTGAATATCCATCCTTCATATCAGAATTCTGAAACAAAATAAAACAAGCTTATCTGTTCTCATAAAAAGAGTATAATACTCTGAAAACACCACTGTTGTCACCAAAGAATGAGACCACACCCTAATTTTGCCTTTAGGAAAGATTATCCTTGGCCTCAATGATCCAAGAAAAATCAAATATGTCATCATTTTAAACAATTTACTGTAACTTAGAGTCTAGAAAAGAGTAATCATGTTTTATACTTACGTTGCTACTCCTAAAGGCCATTGAAAAATATCCACGTCATTAATCCAGGGGCTGTCATATGTTATGAAAAGCAGCTCCACTAAGCCTCCATTTTTCTTGAGAAACTTGAGTATCCAGTCATTATTACAAAGTTCATTTCCAAGCAAAACCACAGCAAGATGCTGAAGTTTTTGAGTTTTCATTAAAGTCTGTGCAAAAAATAACCACTGGGTGGCATGAGAGATCTTTGCTTTTTCTCTTCCATTTAAAACAAGCACCACATTACTGGTATCAATGGGGAAGTACCCTGGGACTAAAGATGGACCAGTGAGGAAGCTGATGAAAACAACAAATGAAAAACAAGAGACAGACAAAAATAGGATAAAGGTATTTGGTATCAGAAGTTTCAAATCAGTTTATATATAATCTATAATGAACTTTAATTCATATTCTCTCTAGAAATGAAATTTCTATAATATAATAAGTTCTTTCAAACAAGTTTAGATGATGGAACATGATTTAAGATCAATAGGAAGTTTTGACTGGAGACAGATCAACTTGCATATGATGATCAGAAGTGTGGGATCTTTTATTTTTATTTCTTTTGTCACATTTAAACATTCCATGAAGATTAGGCCTCAATATATAAAGGAAAACAAACCTTTTTTCCTAAAATGATAATTTTATGTAAATTTGAAAACACACATAGGAAAAAGATTTATACTTATATATCTAGTATCAGAATAAATGTAAAAATTTGAATAGGAGGATACACATCAAACTCATATTAACAATTGCCTCTGAGGGGAAAGGAAAATGAAAGGTACTGGGAAACAGGACAAAGAAAGCCTCCTCGGGGTCAATGCTACAGACCTAATGCACAGGTCAGAGATTCTCAGCATCTTTACGGTTTCATTAACTGTTTTAGTGATTCCCAAACCAAAAGAAATGCCTAACAGTTCCATTTAAAAAAGTAATTAGTTCTTTCCCTCCAACTAGCATTTACTGTTATTTGTATTCTTGATGACTGTAATTCTAACTTCAGTCAGATGAAATATCAGTAGTTTTTTTTGGTACCAGGGATTTAACCCAGGGATGCATAACCACTGAGCCATACCCACCAGCCCTTTTAAAATATTTTATTTATAGAATGGGTCTGTTAGGGCCTTACTAAATTGAACTCACAATTCTCCTACCTAACCTCCCAAGACACTGGGATTATAGATGTGTGACACTACGCCCAGCTCCCTGTAGTTTTGATTTGGATTTCCTTAATTGCTAAGATTTTGAACATTTTCTCATATAATTATTGGCCTTTTGTATTTCTTCTGTTTAGTTCATTTGCCCATTTATTGATTGGGTTATTTGTTTTTTAGGTATTAAGATTTTTTAATTCTTTATATATTCTGGATATTAATCCCCAGTCAGAGAATAGCTGGCAAAGATTTTCTCTCATTCTGTAAGTTCTCTCTTCACATTCTTAATTGTCTCCTTTGCTTATACATTGTTGGTAGGACTGCAAATTAGTACAACTATTTGGAAAGCAGTATGGCAATTCCTCAAAAGACCTGGCATGCAATAATCATATGACTCCTTGGTATTTAGAAATAAAATAAAGCATAGAATAGTTATACATGCACACCAGTGTTTATAGCAGTGCAATTCACAATAGCCAAGTTATGGAACCAGCCTAGGTACCCATCAGACAAATGGATAAAAAAGAATGTAGTATTATACACAATGGCAATTTACTTAGCCATAAAGAAGAATGAAATTATGTCATTTGCTGGTAAATGTATGGAACTAGAGACCATCATGCTAAGTGAAATAAGCCACTTATAATGGTCAAATGTTTTCTCCCATATGTGGAAGCTAGAGAAGAAGAACAAAAAGAAAGGAATAAAAAGAGTCAGGGAATCTCATTAAATTGAAGGATTAGTAATAGAGTAGAGGAAGGGGATTGAGAGGAAGGGAAAAGGGGAGGGCATAGGTAAGCACTAGTGAAGGAAATCTATTAAGTTATGCTATGTACACATATAAATGTGCCACAAAGAATCCCCCATATGTAATGATAATTCATAATAATAATAACAACAATAGAAGGGAGATCAGTAGAATACAGCAAGTGGATAAGGGGAGGGAAAGGGAAGGTATTGGGGAATGAGATTGATCAAATTATGTTATGTACATGTACTAACATGGCATAGTGAATCCCATGATTATGCATAATTATAATGCCCCAAGAAAATATAAATTTAAAAAAGATTATGGGGAAAAATGTGACTGGGGGGCTGGGGTTGTGGCTCAGTGGTAGAGCGCTTGCCTAACACATGTGATATGCTGGGTTCGATCCTCAGCACCACATAAAAATAAATAAAATAAAGATTAAAAAAAAAAGTAAGTAGTGTAATCTCCCTAATAGCTTAGAAGCCATTTTAAAAATCACACCTATGTACTGGAAGAAAAAATAATAACCCTATTTCATTCTTAACTAATCACAAATACTTAATAATGGGATGTGTGCACCTGAGTCATCCTGGAATCAGAGTGGATACTGCCACTTTCACTTCTTGTTCTACCCTGATTTTTATGTGGTACTTTCATTTAATTGTAGCAACCATGGAAAACCCAGCTTTACAAAGGTAAAACATCATTAAAATAAATATAGGGTAATCTAGTGTTTCTACTGTGATACCACGTTCAGTTAGCAGTTGGCATGGTGTCTGACAGATGTCAAACGTAGCCATGTTTCCTTGTCTCAGTACACAGTCTGGGAAACAGTGATAGAGGTTACAAAATTTTAAGGGAAAAGAAAAACAACTGCATAAGATTTAGGTAGTTGGGTGGGTTTGGGAGGTTAGTCAGTCAAACTGCAGTGGGTTGAGAAGTTGGGATTGGAGAATATGAGTGTAGACAACTATTTTGAAAATCTGCATAAGAAGGCAAGAAACAAACAGTGAAAAGTCAGGGATAAAGGACAGCAAGAAAGTAACTGACCAAACAAGGTCCTGGAAGAGGCACATGGGATGTAGAAGTGAGGTGAACTAGGAAAGACCAACTCATTCATTGTCTGAGAACTCAGGAAAGAGTAAGGATGGGTGAGGGATGAAGTAGACAGCAGGTGAATGTTACAACGGCTAATAAAGGGAGATAATAATAGATGCCTCAATTTTTGTGATGAAACTGGAGGCAGGATTGTCCGCTTAGAATGAAGGCATTAAGGAGTGGGCTAGCAGAGTGGACAAACTTTTAGCCTCCCATCTGGTCTGCCTGTACCCAGCTGTCTTCTTCAAATAATTTTTCCACATGGCTGTTAGAGAAGCATAAACATCTGCAAAAACATGATCTTCACTATTCTGCTCAAATAGCTTCAATTGTTTTTCACTGCCAGCAATAATGTCCGAGAGCCTTAAGATGGTGTATATATAAGGTTTAACATGATCTGGCCATTGCCCAATTCTCTCAGTTTCAGTCATGCTACCTCATCTTTATGCTCTAAGGGAAATCAGATAGCTTGCAATTTACCTCATCTTTATGCTCTAAGGGAAATCAGATAGCTTGCAGTTCCATGCACAAGCCAAGCTGCTTCTCAGTTTTGGGTCTCTAATGTCATCGCTGCTAGGAATATAATCTCTCCTCTCTCTGCCTTGCTAACTCCTACACATTTTAAAGACTCAGCAGTTATCACCTCCTTTAGGAATTCTTTCTCCAAAGGCCCCACAACCTATTCATATTAGGTTAGTTGTCATCTGTGTTTCCTAATTAACCGTTATGATGGAGTATGCATATTGTCATTATTATGCTTTCTATACTGCATGACAATAATTTGTTTTTCTTAACTACTAGTGTGTGAAGTCCTCAAGATTAGGGGAAAACATTTTATTCATTTTGAAATTCTCAGAACCTACTAAGAATTAACTTTTAGTAGGCCCTCAGTAAATGTTGAATATATAAGTAGCAATTTTCTGTGAGAGTTATTTGCTCTATCATTTAAGTTCTCCTACTGCTTAAAATATGAACCAAGGAATGTAAATTCAATTTAATAGCAACTTTCCTGATATACATTTATTTTATAAAGTGAAGGTATTTATTTGTGATGAATGCTATATTTTAATTTACTAAGTTATTAGTTAAGGATCAATCAAAGTTCCATTAACTGAAGAGTAAACATATTTAAAGAATTGATATAGAGAATTTTAAAACAGTGATTTGCTTGTCTATGATATGCTAGGATATTTTTAACAATCAGAATTATAGTTTTCAATATTTTTCTTCTGTTGCTTGTCTCAGTTGAAAAATTTCCTTCAAATAAATACTTATAATGTTAAAAAAAAACCCAGAGAAGGGGCTGGGATTGTGGCTCAGTGGTGGAGTGCTCGTCTAGCATATGTGAGGCACTGGGTTAGATCCTCAGCACCACATAAAAATGAATAAAATAAAGGTATTGTGTCCATCTACAACTAAAAAAAAGCCCAGGGAAATCAATTAAATATTGAATTTTAAAGCTGACTCTGAAAACAATATATTTTTGGAATTCCCATAATCACTTCCACTCTTTTCCAAATTCAGCAAGTACTAATGAATGAATATCATATATACCACTATTATGTTAAGGGAACTATGATGACAAAGTACCTAGTGGTCTCAAAAGTGCCTTAATAAGTGATAAATGCACAATGCAAAGTCACATGACTGTCAGTCATTGGATTCTATATTATTATTTTTTGCTTAATATATAAGAAACTTCAGTTTTATAAAACAGGTATATCTAACTTTTTTTTTTTTTAAGTACTGTGTATAGAAGTCAAGGGTATGCTACCACTGAACTATACCCATACCCCTATTATTTATTTTTTATTTTGAATCAAGGTCTCACTTGTTAAATTGCCAGTGTTATCCTTAAACTTGTGATCCTCCTGCCTCAGTCTCCCAAGTTCCTGGGATTTTAGTACAGGCTATCAGGCCTGGCTGGTATATCTAATTTATGAATGGTTCTTACATTGAGTAGCTGCTGTGATTCACCCCTTAATCTGAAGGTGCAGAGTAGCTATAATTCCACACTTTCCCATTTTAGTATTATGATGAAACACCCAACTCTCATGATAGCTCATAAGAATGGGAGATTGGGCCAGGAGAATGTGATTTTTGGAGGATAAGTCATCTTTCCCCAAAAAGAGGGTGTCACAATCATGTTCATAATCTACTAATCTTAAAGATTAATACACATAATATAATATTTTTTCATAAACTGTACATTGTAGACTTCTAATTTACAAATGAACTTTTAGCACTCAAATCTTTGTAATTTTGATGTTACTTGTAATACATTTCTATTA